AACACGAAACCACGGTACCCACCAGCCAATAGCTATATTGAAATCATCAGATAGACAATATTCAGTTCGTAAGCGGACTTGCCAATGTGCCGGAGAATAATTCAATAACCCAGGGGTTTCCTCTCACTCCAAAGCCAATACTATAGTCTTGTTATGATATGAGAAGCGTCATAAGGCAACATCGAGGCAGGGTTAAACCAACATGTGCATACATCTCGCCTTTTTGGGGTTTTGACTCCATGGCTTCTCAAAGAGAGGTCCCACATTGACAACCTCTCGAGGAAGGACCTGAGTACCTGTCATGAAACATGTACATACTAGCAAGGCGAATATCAAATCGCATCTTGCAAGGACGGTACCAAAATCAACAAACCACGTCGCCCACGTGGCAAGGACCACGAGGTTTCCAGATAGGCAAGTGTATAGGGGTGTCTTCCAACTTTCTAGTGGTGGATCAAGCGATGGAATATTCCTTAGATTCGCCTACTCTATTTTAAGAACAATCCTGAAAGGTAGCACGTACGAATTATATCACTGGTCTCTTCGAATCTGAAGCACATCGGAGTGGAGGCCAAGAATCTCAGGATGATTTACAGCTGCCGGAAAGGCAATTCGTTATACAGCCCATGAGATAACGAGTACCAAGGGATTCGTTTACTATGTATCAAATATTGATTCCTAGGCTAAGCACTTACAGCAAGCACTACCAACTGAAGATGAAGAATAACCGCATACAACCAACAAAGCTAAGCCCTATACCAAAGGCAACACGGCAGTGCCACGGCAGGATCATCGGAAAAGAGAACAAGCTCTAAAGAGGCGCGAGCCGCGCGCATTTACGTTAGCTACATTACATGACCGAATAAGTGTTCGACAAGCAGTACTACACACAAATCCTACTCTGGTGCTGTAGATCCGTTGTTGGTGTATCACCCAGGTCAATTCAGCTACTTAGTCCAATAGTGACTATAGTATAACCTAGACTAATGCATTGGTGGATGAATGGCATGCGAATGTTACGCTCGCATATTGAGAATACGACGATGCTTAATAGCCTCCCCAGTAACACGATCCTAACATTTTATCTCGCTCACCACTAGTATCATATACGAGAGTGGCTGTTGGTCTTATCAGCATGCTACTTTAACTCCGCTACTACTATCGTATCATCGAATTCTTCTTGCTACCTATCACGAGTGGCTCGTTCGAAGAAGATATGTCTCTAACCGGACCAGCTGAAATGAGGCGGGGGGTATCTTGTCCCACTGTACCATCAAATCCCAGAAGATGTTCCTGAAACGTCCAGGAACGTGCAGTAGATCAGGGGTTAAGATGGCGAAATACAATGGGACTGTCTACAAAACCGGTATCCTAGTGTACTTCGAATCTGGCTATTCTACTGCACACGCGGGTCACACTTGTCTCATCAAGAAGGACATAGCTACCGGTCATGGGTTCCGGGCGTGGAGATTTTACTACAAGGCCCGCTCCGATACTACCGCTTCACGAAACAAACGCCATATTGCTACGGCACATACACGCCATAAACTTAAACCCTGTAGTTAACAAAAAGACTAACATGTTTAGGCGATGCTCATTAATTCGTCTGTTTTAATATGCCGATTTACTTATCGCATACACGGTCTAGCTATATGTGTTTTATCGGCAGTTACTTTAACCAAATCGTGACGCCACGAGATTGAACGATTTACATCGTCAGATTTGGCGAACTGAGATCTAGCGCGTAAGAATAAGCGGACTGTCCCGCGACGATCTGTTTACTCTATTACGAAATGCCAGACGTCTTGGACCTAGTTTGTGATAAATCCGGTAGCGGTGCACAGACTAGTTCGCCGGAATACAGAAAAGATCTCGCCTCGCTTGCGCTCATTCCCGTCCCGTCACTTGCTCTCGCGAAATCGAACGGGACGTTGTCTTTAAATTTCGATAATTTCCGTTTTATCCATACCTTGTACCTAGTTGTGACGGTGCGCCGTGGCGTTACCTTGCATTAAGTCCGACCACGTTTACTCCCCGACCTAGCGGTCAAACTGTCAATTACAAGTTATGATGGCATATCATATCAATGTCGAAAAGACATGAGCTCTATTCGTGCTTTCTATGTCTTTACTCTCCGATGGAGACTTGAGTTACCAACATCTTTCACGTGTTTATGTGAACAAGTACGGAGTATCATTAAAGCAGTATCAGTCCCGTACTATTAACTACGCCGCACCCTGGCAAGCCTGGTCTTATGAGATCCGGGGCCATACTCCAAGCTAAGATTACCATAAATTCGTTCTTCACAATAACCACGGATCAACTACACAGTACTGCATAACGGCTATCACGCGTGTAAGCTCGTTGCAACCTCAGTTATTAGCCTTCCCCACAAGTTTGGTTGAAGCTCCCGTAAGTCGATAAGCGTTTATAGACTTCCAGAGAACTCAACGCTCAAGTATTTGGAGCTAGCATGTCCGACTGCAGGAAGCAGCCTCCTTCGTTTAATGGATCGATCATAGGTACCATCTTACTATGGACGTCCTAGTGGCTATTCCGCAATGTCCACAACAAACGAGACAAGAGCTTCAGGGGTAAGATTAGAGGGGCAAATACACAAACGACGAAGCCGAGTTTCTTATCCAACCACCCCTCAAAGAAGATACGCGGTTGATAAGAGTCGTTTCTGAAGAATGTATATAATGTAGGGGAATCGCTAATCAAAACAGAGATCTCAGTCGTATAGCATCTTACTACGTACATACGAAGCCAAACTGAAGCCACCGCTTTTTCCCCCGCTCAGTACCAAGAGTTCGGCTATCATCCTGGGAAGAGACGGCGAGATCTAGACGTCGGGGTTCGGAACTTTATCACGACGGTTGCAGCGGCAAGGTACGCAGGAGTCTCCATTGACCCCCTCCGCGTTGCGATGTCAAGCTGGCGCATCATCCCACGCTCGTTTTATGCATAAGTTTGTATGTGAACGGCTCCAAGTGTGGCCCTTGCATTCCCGCATCGTGGGACCCTAGTCACCGCCCACAGATTGGGTGCTTGCTTGCTTGCTTACCTAGGTCCTACCTCTATCCGAGAAGCTGGCTACTTTAACCCGTTCACGCTTCCAATGTCGAAGCCACGGAGTTAATAAATGCTAAGTCAATGGCGAACTGGCAATAACCTACTCGGCACTAAGCGGCAAAGGCGCATACATTCGGAAGCGAAACCGATCCCGTGTATGACCCTTGTATACCTTGGTCGTTCGCTGCCGTGCTTCTTCCATTCTGCCTTATCGGTAGATCAAACTACCGTTCTCCTCTATCATAGACAGCCAAGATGAAGTCGCGTTGCTAGATATACCTGCCCTACGTTTCTGCATATAGATGGATTAGGTACTCTTTCTATATAGCCAAGAGCCTATGTAAGATACGTTTCGAGTAGAAGCCACACGGGTGATAAAACATGGCTACCTACAAATCATTAACCTTCAGCTCGCATACTCCGACTTGAGTAGCAACGCGTGGGTTGCTTTTTTGCTCGCCTTCCAAGCCCCAGCCCACGAGAAGATGTTACTGCGTAGCTCAGTAGCGCTACTTCGTACAGAAGTGAGACATGCATATAATGCTATCGACTGGTTTGCATCATCAAGATTCGCTTATAACCCCTTCCCCCTAAAGGCGCTTGGTTGCAACATATATCGGATCGTTACTGTTATATCCCGCCACATGGTATTCCGGGTATTTGATTACGAGTATGTAATGTGAGTAGTATCCGACGCATACGATATAACGACGTCGATGTAAAGTTGGGGTTAGATGCTCTACTACAGTATGACAAGTAGGCTTCTATCTATCTACCTGCGGCCGAAGAGGCAAGCCACCTTTTCTCTCCATGGATATCCTTGGCCGAGATCAGAAGGATTCGTTCCTTTGGCTGGGACGAGGCGTATGCATGTATGATGTATGTACAGATGAACATACCTAGACGATACAATGTGTCTACTTGTTAGATACAACCAGAGACCTACGACGCATGTACACTCACGCATCCCACTCGTCCACTTGGCGAAAGCGAACAAAATCCCTCGAGCCACCATCCAGCCCGTGCTGCGCCGCTCCCCTGCACCACTCTAGTTTTTCTAGACTTTCTCTTCCCGTTGGTGAATGCCCCGCCGAGATTTCACCCACTACCTCACCTCACCTATGTACAATACATCCAATACATCGAGGAGCCAACCCTTCTTGGCCCGTCCTGCCCAATCCGCCGGCTGCGTTCTGGGGATTCCTGCAAAGTACCTACCTACGGCAAATAACTACTGTACATATGCGCGGTTTTGAAGGAATACGAACCAGAAGTCCTACGCACCCGGGTACACAATTTCCATGTGCGCACACGCGTGGATTGACTACCTTAGTTACGCAGGTAGCTTAGTTGTCAGCTTCCCCCAAAGCCGAACGTACATACGTACGGTGGGTTGGTGGCTCTGGCGAGTTGGGGGCCAAAGAAATTGAAGCATGTACAATAGATTTGTAGATAGGTCGAGTTGTGGCCGTGTGCGGAAACGGCAACAGATCATCGACGGGTCCTGCGGCTGTGGAATAGGATGAGATGAGATGGGATGAAGATAGATGGCGGTTGGTCGAGGGGCTGGTCGTCGGGCAGTGCGTCATCAAAGATTTTACTGGAGGCGCTGCCGCCCTGGACGGAGAGCTGAATGACTAACTACCGCGAGGAACGTAAGGACGTAAGGATGACGAAACGTCGATAGGCATCAACGTATGTACAGTTAGAAGTGCTTAGCTTGCGTCGGCGCTGCTACGATGAGTAAGACCTAGAAGCCTTATAGTCTTCTAGTCTCAGTCTTAGCCGGCGCTCCCGTCCAGCCTCTACTCCGTCCGGGTTTCGCTCTTTTCTACTACCGCCGCTACCGAGCGGGCCTTGAGACATCCGGGTTAAGCAAGTACACACATACATACTTAACCTACATAACACCATCGTCGCCAATCATGTTTCACGTTCGAATCCTAGCACCTATAACATCCTTACCAGCGGGTTTAGTATCGGGTGAACCCTCAACCAGCTATAGACTTCAGTCTTCAAAGGATACGCTGCAGTCAGCTTATCATATTACCCGCCACGTGGAAGACGCATCGCCTCCAGAAGTATATTCCCTTATGTACAATACGGAGATCATAGATCCAATTCCCGAGACCAGACCCTTCGCTGGCCCGATATATACCTACACCTTAATCGCACCCGCAAGATCCGCTGACTCGTAATGTCTTAATAATCGGCAACGCGGATGCGTAGGTAGCTAGGCAAGCACAAGCACACTCACTCGCCCGCTTACTTGCCTAGGCACCCGATCCGTCGCCCCGGTCCCTATTACTACGACGCCTTCCCGGATTCCCAAGGCATTGCCTCGTCTCTGAGACGGTCAGCTGGTTCGAGCCCTAGGGTTCGCGGTTCGGCCGAGTTTATGTGGAGCCCGAACTCGACTTCCTCCCGGACGAAGGGCCGACAGGCTCCTGCTGGTCGATGCACGTGGGCGCAGGGCCGCCGAGTGTGGTTTAGTATAGACATTTATCCTAGCGGAGATCTCGGGGTGCAGGTAGATCCTGGGCTCGCTGGCTAGCTACCTAGCTAACTTACGATCCGGCTTTCCTAACGATGATGTTATGTCATGGTATGTCAACTATGCCATGGCAAACTTCGGACGGCTTACTATCGCGACAAAGAGCCCAGATCAGTTGTTGCTATCTTGGTATCACGGTCCTGGTTTCAGCCAAGTCCTTGCGGGCTGTGAATGTGAACTACTAAGACACGGGAGGAGAGAAGAGGAGAGGAGAGGTACGTAAGGGAAGGGACTAGTAAAGACATGTTCTAATGGTTTCGGTGAGGATCGACTTACCACCGCCGTGCACTTTGAGGACTTATCGTTCTCGTATCTATCGCGCTGTTCCTGTCATAAGTCAGCTCGGGCGAGTCATACCGACGAGAAGGGTCTTGCTCGGCACACAGTTGTTCCTATCTGCGCTTATTCCCCCGCCGGGGTCCAGACTTTTTGCTGTTGTCTGGTTATCGTAGATAGATAGGCAGATGCTGCCTCCGTCGATCCTAAGATCTTCGTTGTGATACCGTTCTGGGTTCGTTCCATCTTACCCACGCGCGGAAATGGATGTTCGCTAGGTAGGTTTGGAGCAATCGATGTGCCGTCGGAACAAATAGTTGGTGCGTGAAACATCCGGGCCGTGGAGATCTAGGAGACGTCGGTATCTCAACCGATTCACGTGCTGCTGTCAGGTAGGAAACACGAGCAAGCGTAGTGTACGCACGTAAGCCGCCTTATTCGGCTCGTGCGGATGTGATTAGAATCTGATCCATTGCGTTGGTAGATGTCCCTGTGGGGGTGTTCTATCTGGTTCTACTTTTTGCGTGGGACTCCATTTCTCTCTTAGTCGGTGCCGAAGGGATAGTATGTGTGGCTCTTAGGGCTACGATGAATATGTACATCTCCTACTTGCGTTGGTACTCAGGCAGCCCCAGTTACAATGTGTGGGCTACCTATACATACATACCCATACTCTCTTTTTCCCTTAACCCCTTACCCAAGAGGAAGTGAACAGTAAGCCGTGTTAGAATACAGTCCGGACAGTTAGGTAGATGTCATGCATTCCAATCCCGTGTCAACGAATGGTAGGTAGGAATATACGGCTGGCCTAGCTGTTACACAGATGCGTCTCATCGAAGGGTATCCTCACACACATGCGGCAGGGCAATGCCACTAACCCGCCACGCTATTTGTCTACCCGGGTAGGACATGGTTGGCAGCAGGGCCGTTGGTATTACCTGTAGATGCGACCTCGTTGGCATATGTAGTGACGACCCAGAGCTTCGGGTTCTTCACACTACCAATGAGTGTCTTGTCTGTAGCATAGCAAGGAGATTGAAATGATAGTGCTGTTAGTGCTGTTGTCTGGGGGCTAGATGGATGTGTGACTGGTGAGGCGGTTGTATACCTACCTATGTATCGTGTAACGGGTTATGATATTGATTAGTTGAACTTTGGAGATTATGATAAACCCAGTTGACATATTTGGATTAATGTATGACCATGGGACCCATGCCTATACTATATTCGTAACTTAGTTAACTATCTGGACGTATCGTGGATATAGTTAATTTTTGAGAAAGGGGATTACGAGTGGGTAAGAAGATAACGACGGTCTAACGTATGTTTCTCTTATTGTTAGACAATCCAAACGAACGACTAGGGACTAATAACTAGGCCTTGGCTGGTAATGGGCGTTATATAACTTTGTAAAAAACATTGTATGAATACTCGAACCACTGAGCTTTATGCCTATGTCTAAAGATCTTGAGTATATAGCATAGCCATGGAAGTTAAGTTAGTTATGCCGTCTACAGCTGTTGCTATATCTATATCCCCCTGGACACTGAGAGCATACTCCATTCTCGAGAAACTATGATATTGGAGGTATCAACGACAGCTCTTATTATCTTAGTTTATAGTTCTTCGTGATTCAATATAATTAGTTAGGCATTTACTTATGTTCTTACATAGATACTCATATCCTCGTAAAGAATACTAATTACTAAACCACACGTTACCTTAATAATCTATCGACTGAGCAGTTAGCATCACGGAAATTACAATGAGACTAACTAGTTAGACTTAGTTAAGAATCCTCAAGATATTTATCTTAGTTGTGGAATTTGGTCAGGGTCCAAATAGAGAGAGTATGGCAAGGACAATAAACTTGCATCCCATAAGGTCTGAATACACTTATCTACCTAGGTACCTGACCCTCAACAGCTGCCAAACCACCCGGTGGTTGCCAGGCAGCCAAGTTCAACATAAGTACACCATTAGAAACCCATTCTCTCACCCCTGATCGGCAGCTGCAAACCCAACATGGCCGTGGTCTAGTGGTTAATGAAGTAGGGTCAGAAATAATCCTTAACTGGGTTTTTCGTAGCACACCAGGTTCGAGATAGCCCCAGGGCGGCAGGAAGGCCAACTGTTCAGGTCAAATGGGGTCCTTGAATACTGAGTTCCGAGCTTTTTTGTTAACATTTTATTTAGTTCTTCTTTTTTATTCAATTTAACCATCATCTATTATTTTTCATTATGTAGCTAATGGGTTTGAAGAATCTAATGATAATACGACGTTACTACAGAATTGAGTCTTAAGGGACTATTTTAGGGGCTTGCGATCGCTGCAGGCCACATCAATCAAACTCGGTAAATCAGCAGTAAAGTCCTGACCTTTGGCTTTTGGTCTAGTCAATTCATGCTATCAACATCTCTGGTATTTGTAGGTTAACCGTCCATAATCGCATACAGATTCGACCTGCCTTCAAAGACTACCCGCGAGTTTTTATTTAGTCCTCATCCCAGTTGGGGTTGGGTCCTGGTGGCTTCGGCCCGCCAGCTTGCCTTGCTACGATGATCTGGTCTACCGATAGCACTGTTCGCGCTGCCTCCGTCGCCAGCTTGATGGCCCAAGACTTGGTGACCATAAGGTCCAGGATACCTTCTTCCTTGGCATCTAGGGTGCCGGTGCCGTCGTTGTTCTGTAGTAAAAACGATGTCAGTATTGCACTACGTGTATGAATAGCAGGGTTGAGGGTCTTACCTCTATGTCAACTCCCGTAGTCCAGCCGTCCTTCTTGTTATGTGCCGTGTATAGTCTACTTAGCACTTCCGTGGCGTCTAGACCAGCACTCTCTGCTATGGTCCGTGCTACGACCTCGAACGCCTCACCGTATTTACGGATGGAGTATTGCGGCAAGCCGGAAGTCTTGTCACCGAAAGCTTGTATCCTTCCTACGAGCTGTATCTCTGTGGCACCTGCACCAGGGACTAGCTGTGCGTCGCGGGTGATAGCCTTCACCACGTTGACTCCGTCGTCTACCGCTCGCTCAACGTCGTCAAGGTGATTTTGCGTAGCACCCCGAAGAACGATGGTTGCCGTCCTTGTGACCTCATCTTCTTGTCTGAACACCGTCACGCGGTCTCCGCCGATTTCGAGGGTCTCGACGACGTCTACGGATCCCATCTCGTCAGGCATGGGAGCGCCTAACCTGGCGAGAGGAGTAGCGCCGACGACTCGGCAAACTCGCCGTAATTCGAACTTGCTCAGAATCTTGATGACGAGTATGCCATATCGGTTGAGGTAGTGCATGGCAAGCTCTCCCACGGTGGAGCCGGCGATTACGACTCTCAAACCGACGTCGTGCAGCTCCTTGATGGCAGCTTCTAATTGCTCTTCCTCTCCTTTGGTGAAGTCCATCATTTCCTTAGCGTTGTGTAATAGCACAGTACCCTTGGTCTCGGTCTGGCTTATATCGAGGGCACAGGAGAAAACTCCAACCTTGGCCTTGGTGGCCTTCTTGACAGATCCATCCGGCTCCTTAGGGAAAACCATACCCTTCACCACTTTGCTCTGCTCTAGGCTTCCGCCCATGATCTTCACTACTCGGATGTTGTCGACGTTAAAGTTAACGGGGTTTTTAGGGAGCACGGCGAGAACGGCTTCGGAGACAAGAGTGGCTAGTATATCCTCGTTACCGTTCTGCTTGCTCGCCACCACCGTCCGGATTGCCTTGCTTAACTGTTCCTGGTTCCTAATATCATCTACCTTGTCGACGACGAGTTGCTCCAAGGCCTCAAGGGCGAATGCCTGAGCGCGCTCGTAGCCTGTGACTATATCTGCAGTCTTTAGGCCCATTCGTAGTAAATCTTCGGCTTTCTTGAGGAGCTCGCCGGCAAGAACTATAACAAGGTTTGTAGCATCGCCCATCTCGGCCTCCTGCTGTTGACTGGCCATAACCAAAAGTTTGGCGGCGGGGTGGACGACATCGAGTTCCTTGAGAATAGTTGCAGCATCGGAAGTGAGGATCATCTTTTGCAGATGGTTTATAATGATTTTATTCCGGCCATAGGGTCCTAAGGAGGTCTGGACGGTAGAGGCGATGGCCCGACAAGCATCAATATTTCGTAGCACAGCTCCATCTTCGGCGTCGTAGCTATAAAATGGTAATATGGTTAGGCACCTCTTTTATTATACAAGTTCGCAAGCTGTGGCGGGGTGAAGAACAACATACTTGTTGTAGCCTTGCTTGAACAGGCCAGCATTTGGCGCGTTCGGGATATTGAGCGACATATTTGTTGATTCCTTTTTCCTTTTCTAGGTAGATGTACAAATTCTCGTTGACTCGGAATAGACCAGGGGTGAAGACTGAATACACGCCTCGTGGGCTATTAAAGTGGTATTAAAGTGTATTAAAGTGGGAGGCTCCAAAGTTGAAGCTTCTACCAGAAAAAAAGTAGTGGAGCTATCAAAGCTGCTAGGAGGTACATAGTACATGTGATAGGTACTTGGTTACTTCAACTATGTATTGTATTGTATTGTACATAGGTACCTACTAATGTATGGAGCTAAGGCTGCTAAGAGGTAGTGTAAACAGCACTGGTAAAGACCTACGATAAGCCTTGCAGCAAATATATGGGTCATAAAGTGTATATGACCCAATCAAAACTCTAAATCAGCAGCCTCGTCCCTTAGCAAAAGTAAAAGTAAGGTACCACGCAATGTTCCACGCTTCCACGCTTGCAGCTATGGACATACATATTTCGTCGCGCCTGTTATCTGCGCCGTCTTTTGCTCTCTTCGTCATCTTATTCTTTCCAACTTCAACTTCACCGTCCGATGTTTGTTAAACACCACGCAATATCATTCTAAGATATTAGTTGTGATTTCTTGTTGGAATAAGAAATACACAATTCAATTACCTATCTCGCAGTCAGATCCTGAATTGGTGAAGTTGCTGCGACAACTGTCGCATTCTATAAAGATGGCTCCGCAGAGTAGTAAGTGCACACATTCCCATTATCGCCAACTTGACGGCCTCAAAATTCCCTTCTCGAATTAGCCATTTCCTATTATATTTGTTGGCCACCTTGTCATTGTAAACTCTTACTATCCTCACTTCTACGTCAACAATCCAACGATGAATCTTCCACCCTTATTTCGATTCAGTCCCGGAAAGGGAAAACGACCCGTCCCAGTCGAACCTACTGAACCCGTTGAACCTGAATTATCTTCCGAAATCGAGGAGAATACTTCTCGGGGTTGGAATCACGCATCGATAGAATATACCAAGAACACGAGCTAACCATGTAATTTTGTAGTTAACCCTCCCGCTCTACCTCCTACGGTCGAAGAAGCCTATCGACGTAAATGTATCCAACTGAAGGAGCGCACCAAAGAGATAGAAGATGAATCCAAGGCATATCAGCTGCGCCTGAACCGACTCCAGCGTCAAGTCCAAAAATTACGTCTCGAGCGCGCATTCCTCCTTGAACAGGTCGCCAAGCGCACGAGCACCAACGTAGAGGATTCCGAAGGCAGCCCTAGTCCTCCGCCGACTGTATGTGCTAATTTCCTTCTTACCTGTGGAACGTTTACATTAAACAGATGTCTAACTATCTAGCAGCCAAAGGACAAGCCGCTCAGAACTAAGCGTGGGCACAGGAAGCCGTCTCTGCTTCCCATCTCCGAGCCTGGCGCCGGACCTAGCGCAACTTTCATTAATCAGAACTTAGCGACGCTCTCGCCGAGCTCCGACGCCTACTCGCACTCCCAGCTCGACCACGGCCGTCTTAATGGTATCGCCAAGCGACCCAAACGCCCTAGCAACGCCTTCGAAATTTACTGCAACGACACCCGACCCGTTCTTCAGGCCCAGCACAAGGAAAAGATTGCGGCGGGAGAGTTCCGTCTCGAAGAGGAGCTCGCACGCGGCTGGAAGGACTTGCCGGAAAAAGAAAAAGAGGAGTTCCAAGTCCGGTATGAGCAAGAGTTGGCCCAATACAAGGAGGCCGTTGAAGAGTATAAGCGCGAAGCAAAAAACGCTGCGCGTGAGCGCTCGCGTAACAGGGATAGAGACCACTTCGGGAGCATCTCTAGTAGTAGACGTGGCGGTGGAGGTGGAAGTCGTTCGGCCCGCTTCGAAGAGGTCCAGGATGAGGAAGGAGACGACGATCAGGATGTCGAGATGGCGGATCCCGGCGAGCACGAGCCTGCAGGCGACCAAGATACGGACCCAGAGACCGAGGTTGACGAGAACGACGGCGCGGGCGACGATTAGGGGTTTTACGGCCTTGGACCCGGACGTATCATCCTACGGAGGAGAACGGCTTTAGGAAGATGATCCGAATATGGGCCGGCGGGGAAGAACGAGATCCTCCCACCGCTGGACCGTTAAAAATTTGGCGTTACGGTAAGGGATTTTGGCTTAGCTTTGGCTTTGAGTGTATGATTAGGATTAGGTATCATGCTAGGCTGGGAGCCAGGAAGTTCAGATAATAGCATTAATGAATCAGAGAAAAAGAAGGGTTAATTTTTATCTATGAGGACCTTGTAAGGGTTGGTTGGTTGGTGAAAAACGTGAGCTTTTGTTTCTGTTTCGCGTTGAGGGAGTAGTAAAATACCTAACCTGGAATTGTGACTAATGGAATCAATATGGGCTATTCTGTTTATGCATCATGAATGCGTTGCCCCTATTTTCAGTCATATCCGAGGTACATACCTACTGTACCTAGGTAGATTAAGTAGGTCAGTTTTGCTCCCATATAATACTTCTACAGAAAGCACCCGGATAAAGCAAAGTAAATAGGTACGCATGATGAAGCCGACGCGTAAAGAAACTATTATTCTGATATTAACACCCGTTACCCACGCTGCTATCGCCGCTTAAACCGGACATTACTTCGATTAACTATGAGGTACCTAATGTATGCAATGATGTCTATCCTATGTCAGTGATATAAAACCGATACGCAGCCCAAACGCCAAAAGCTGCAAGCTACTAGTGCTACTATGTGGTGTGCTGTGCTGTGCTGTGCTGTGCATATGTATGTGTGTGTGTATGTGTGTATGCTATCTAACCGATGCACCCGGAACCGAACACCACCCGTCCTTCGTTGTTCTGTATGGAGAGACAAAATTGGCTTAGCCAACCCTTCTAGTAGAGGTAGATGGATGAGGCCGGGTGGTTTAGTCTACGCCTGCGTAGAGATCGACGACAATGTTGACGGCTGCGACTAGGATCTCGGCGGCGATGAGGACGATGACTGTAAGTACGTGTTAGTTGGTTATCTCAGTGTACACTTCATGGTTTGAATTCGTCCCGTTCGGGATCGGTAGTAAACCATATTGGGGAGGGAATAAGGGGGATGGAATGGATATATTAGGGCACTACGTACCGATCCACTCGAGCATCTCGCCATGGCCATGGCTCAGCTGATCCTTGAGTACGGCAAGCAAGTCAGCAATGACGTCGAGACGCTCGGTGAGCAGACGGACACGTTGATCCATCTCGAGGTAACTGCGGACGGCCTGGTAGACGGGCTCGAGATGGGGTTCGACCCAGAAGAGCTCGGGGGTGTCGAGCACGCTGCCGTTGAGGTGGATGCTGATGCGCAGGATGAACAACTCGCCGATCTGCATGTTGATTTGCGACCGCGACAGCGCGATCTTACCCGTCAGAGCGATCTGCGTCGGTATGTCCTTGCATGTGTCGACTGTCGACGCGATAAGCTCCTCGAAGAGGGACGTCTATTTGGGGGGTTAATATCTATTCATATTGTATTATATATAGGAGAGCGAAGGGGCATACCTTGACACTTTGCGCCAACGCGTGCGATATGGCTAGCTTCGTCATGTAGTTCCCCTTATCCCTCAGCGTGATAAAGTCGTTGTATATCCGCGGCTGGTACTCGTTAGTGTAGTAGAAGTTGAAGCACTCCGTCTCCACGTCTTCCGGATTTAGTTTATCAAGTTCGAACTTTGAGATGTCTTTTAGGAACCGTTGCTCGTGTGCTGGCGACATGCCCCATATTACCACAACACCGTATTCGAATAAGAATACCTCCGGTGTATGTACCTGGATGTCGAAGTCGGCACCGTGCTGTTGATGTTCGGAATGCGAATCGGGATCGTGTATGGCGCTCTCATCGTCAGAATGTGTCGGGTAGGAGAGGTTGTTATGTACATCCCGGCCGTTACTGAATACCTGCTCGGTATCTGATGCGCCATGTTCTTGTGATTGCAGGTTCCGTAGGCTTTCTCTCTTATACGCGTCCGAGTGTTCTTCCACTTCGCCGGTAGAATGTCTCCTTTCGTAAGTCTGGATCGGGGTTTGCCGTACTTCTTCCGCCTCCTCGGGTCGCTCTACAGATTTCCCGTGGTTGTAATTATACGGCGTGTATATGCATTCGTCAATCAGCTTGGGATTCGCCCCCCTATTTTTACCCCTGCCCTTGAGGAATCGCATCAAACCCTCCATGTTGTACTTTGTAGCCGTACAGTAGGCCGTTACGCGCGGCAGCTTGTCGCGGTCTGCTTTTCCTAATCGTGCGGCATCTCTCCTCGCAGTAGGATCTTTAATACGTGTATACTGCGAGTAGACGTCTCTGCCGCTCTCCTCATCTGGACCCTCCTCGTCAAGTTCGGGATTCGGTAATAATTTCAGCTTCTGTGCATTCTTGGAACTTCGCTGGGGACCAATTTTTGTTAAAGGGTTAACTGCGGGAGGGAGAGCGGTGAAGACGGCGCCGTGGCTGTTACGTCGGCGCAGGCGGTTGTTTAGCGCGGAGAGCATCGGTGGCGGAACAGCTCCGCTGCTACTCGAGGCCATAGAGCTAGGTAGACGTGCATGACCAGAGTTGCCTGTATTACTGGGCGAGGAGCTTAAAGATGAAGGATCGGGATCGATTGTTCTCGTTACGGGATTAGGATTGAAGGTTACGTTGCGCGCGCTTCTGGGACGGCTTGTTGTATCGTGTCGTAGGAGAGGAGTTCGCTCAGACGTCAGGCTGGAGCTAGTTGAAGCTCTTGGTGATGCATCCATCGTGATACTTATCTACCTGGATGATACGCGACTTCATATAGTGATAGGAGCTAACTGAGTCTGCTACTAGGTGACCTTCGATGTGCGACGATAGTTCTCCTTATATTAAGTGCTACCGTGTTGCCATATGAAAGACGGAACTTGCAGATCTAATCGTTTGCTTTTCTTATCTCGGGAATAATTTCGAATCATAGAAGGGACTTATTCCCAAGAGTTACAAAAAGATATAACTAAGTGAAACAAAGTACTGTGAACTTGAGTGGGTGTGACGATGTGAGCAAGAGTGTGTGTATTGTTACGGCCTAAGAGACGAAGTGCAATTCTCGGAGCTAAAGAAGAAGATTGTCTTATGACGTTGGACGAATTGACCACGGTCCAAAGAAAAAAATAAAAAAATAAAAATAAAGCTAGCCCGGCTTGTCAACGCCGACCCCTGCAATAATAATTTTTTTGCGGGGAACATGAGTTCGTTTTAGTATTTATCTGTATATTACCTACAAATACGTATGGTTAATACATATCAGTACCTGTAGTAGTTGATACACGTGCATCGCAGTATATTAGGTACATTAGGTACGTTTTGCCCTGTCCCCCAGAAGCATATTATACATGTACATAGTATGCATAATATACCATCCTATTATAGCCAAGCCCCGTCGTTAGATGCAAACAGTTGAAAGAGGCTCAAGATGGAACTCCAGCCCATTACATACTTATTCTTAGAATAAGCCCGATCGTATGCATAACCACCGCCTATTTAACAGATTAGTTCCGGGTCATTCTCTGACCTTCCACAACCATAGATGCCAAATCCTAACGCCGGCCATATGAAGCCGAGATAACGCCCCTCGGCTTATTCAGGACAAATGCGGAACGCAGCCGAGAGAAAACTATGCGTCGATAATCTTCGACTCTAGTTTGAAGCCAACATTATTCAGACGGTCGATATATCCCTGGCCTAAACATGCGGGAGTATAAACACCTCCTGCGAGGTCGAGGTCGTCTTGCAATATTGTGCAGGCAGCTTGACTAACAAACATCGCAGTCACTATGCCAGACATTAGCTTACAAGTTATGACTGACTGGAAAGTTGGGGTGCTTACGATAATACAATCCGCCGTTATATTCTGCCTTACACCATGCTTGCTTGCCGATGCTAGGTTGGATGTCTGGCATTGCGATTCCGCGGAACTGGACAGACTCCTTTGCCTGATCTTCTTTGCTTGTCCCTTCGCCGGGCTGATAGACGAAGTTGCGCATTAACTTTCGAATTGGCGAGCAGAACATAAGCAATGCACCGCTGACTACGAGGGCATAGTGCATCGCCATACCCCTTACGTGGTTCTTTGCTCTTATAAATTCCCGGTACGTAAAGTTCGGTCCATAGAACTGCTTCTGCAACGATGGCTCCTGTTTGAACAGACCCCATGTACGCTGCACAACTGCTGTGTTGGTCCCGGCAGTTATGGAGGTTGACATGAGTCCAAGCTTGGGGATGGTATATAAGCCTGTTAGCTTTGAAATTGACGAGGGCTTAGGGGCCCGTTTTGAGTTGGGGACGGGAGATAGAGCATATGGCTTGTGAGATTGAGCCACTTCTTTCCAGTGAAAGACGTCGAAGAGCCCCAGGAGTGTGTGGAGAGTACCACCCGACGGTGCACCGCTATATTGTATTAACTTCCCGTTGGTATAATTGGGCTAATGACTTACTGTATCTCGTGTATTTTAATCACGACGTCGCCCACCGGGGCTGAGAGCTCGGATCGGATGAGTGATGCCATCGAGAAGGTCATTAAATCCGACGGCGCAGATTCGATAGCGGCCTGAGGGAACATGCAAGCACCCGTCGCCTTTGCGGATGCTTCATACTTCTTGATCATAGCCGCGTGCCAAACAGCCTCGCCGGTGCAATCGAAATAATGGGTGCCAGCTTCTGCGCAAGCCTCGAAGGCAAACTCTCCGTATTTTGCATACGGACCAACTGTCGTGATGAGCGCAAAGGTCTTCTTGGCCAATGCCGCAAGATCTGCGTCGTTGAGACCACATATCTCGATCTCTGGAGGCTGACGGTCAGAGTTTAAGGCTTTGCATTCTTGAACTACATTTCGTAGCTTGTCAGCAGATCGACCGGCTATCGCCCATTTTAGATCTGTTGGGAAGTGGGTTGTGATATGTTCCGCAACCAGTGACCCGGTATAGCCTACCAACGATTAGCCGCTTGAATATCCTTGATCTTTTACATCGTAACCATTAGGTTAGGTAGTCAATTTACCAGTTGCGCCGAACACTACCAAGTCATATTGGCGAGAGTGTTTCTTGAAAGACATTATGAACTTTGGTCGAGGATGATACAACTAAGACAAATACAGGTAGACAGGAAAAAGTATGAAGAGAATATGCGCTCGACTAGATATCGGTAAGTCTTTGCTCGAGGTGGGACACTCCTTACATGAAGCGGACGCCTATTATAATTATACTTGCGATATTCATGAAACTTGGGCTAGATAGAGAACGAGAAGGCGCGGAATATGTGGCCAGTCTATTTCTATTAGGGTTATGATATATAGATAGGCAATACAGTACACGCAGATCAGGACGTTTGATATTCCTTTCTCCCATTTCCGGCATCGCCTATGATAAACTAGGCGATAAACTAGGATACATACAGGAGGCTTCAGAGGCGGTAATCACGGAGCGCAGTTCTAGCTACGAAAGGGAATCAAGGCCGTACATGCCTCGGCTTCACATCTCCAAATGAAAGAGAACTCCGGCGATTCGTGAATATCAATCCGGTGAGAATACCGTAGGTTTCGGATACGTGCCTAAAGAAGTTTAGTCCCCAAGATGATCTTCGCAGGGATAATTCTAATGGCAGTGTCTCTCCGCCTTGTCAGCTTTGTTGGACTCTTAGATGAGCCAATGAGATGAGGATTTACTAGTCCGTGCTTAAAATTCGTGCTTAAGCGAATCGGAGCATTTTTAAGTATGATCCGTTTGCTTCCAGAGTCTGATTGGAAAACGGTTAGTACGGCAGTGAGGTTAGCGAGGTTAGCCAGGTTAGTCATTCAAGTCACCTGACTAACTATCTTATCACAACCTCCCAACCCCCCTTCCTATTTTCTCACCCCTTTTAGCGCACTTACCTAACGTGGTCCAAGCTTTGAATTTTTCGTTCGCTTAGACCCTAGTCTGGGACCACCACCAGCCGTACTTTCTCACAAAATCAAAAATTCTAAGCTAGCAGCCCACTCAGCAATCCAACCTGGAATTTGACTGAGGAAATTTCCAATTTCGACCACAACCGTAAAAACACCCAACCCTTCCATCGTCATCCGCACTCCACGAACGAACCTCACATCCCTCAGACAAAATGACGAAGCGCACAAAGAAGGTCGGTGTTACCGGAAAGTACGGTACCAGGTAAGTAACTTAAGATTCTCGTTGGTATCTAATTTAGAGTCCCTCGAGCGGCCATGTCGTCGCTGGTGGTCCAACACGACCAGTCCGCGACCAATCTATTGTGACAAAATTACAATCTCCCAAACACGAATAAATACGCTCGAGGCGACCTAGCTCCTACGGAATAAACCGCTGACGATAGTCCTCCCGGATAGATACGGTGCCTCGCTCCGAAAGCAGGTCAAGAAGATGGAAATCACCCAGCACGCCAAGTACACCTGCACATTCTGCGGCAAGACCTCCGTCAAGCGTCACTCCGTTGGTATCTGGGACTGCAAGTCGTGTGGAAAGACCGTCGCCGGAGGAGCCTACACTGTCTCGTACGTTGAAATGCAATATAAACTCCGTTCGAAGGGCGGGCGAAAGACGTCGGTGCTAATATTCGCGTTATAGGACCGCTGCTGCGGCTGCCATGCGATCAACGCTGCGAAGATTGAGGGAGATCCAGGAGGTTTAGACGTGATGCGAGGGGGAACGGCTATTTTCTTTGCATTTGGCTTCGGTGTACGGGAACACGGAATTTTCTACGCAAACCATGAAAGGTCATGACGACGATCGATGAATTCCCTTAGTGGGCATCAGTGAGATCGCCTACGGATCATCGATCATAACCAAATGCCAACAAGAATTACTATGAACAAAACATCCTGATTGTCGGAGTCGCATTGCACGGCCCGGCTTTATCTAATAATGCTCTTCTGTGAAACCTGCTTCTCAATATTGCCTAAGGACTCATCATCTAGACTTTATCGTCGGATCTACGCTTTTCGAATCATTGATTCGATCGAGTTGGCGAGGATCGCTTTAATTGACTATCTTAGGCATCTACCGCCGTTCGAGACGTCGACTGACCTTGCGCGACTTAGCACGTATTAAATGTAAGGATATTTGACGCCGGGGTGGCCGGTGCATATCGGAGAGCAATACTGCGGCTTGAGGACTTTAATCCTTGCCTAACTGCTATACGCTCGAATTTGAGCCCAGCCGCCTCTGGCGCAGGTATGTCGTCGATCCTGTTTACTTGCATGAGTCAATTAGCTGCCTAGTAGACTCATTCCTCGAATAGGATTCATGTTGACGCGAAGTCGCAAGGGCATGACAGCACTGACGAGGCAAGTGTCACGTTGAGAGGCAATCGTCTCCGAATTATATGCAGTTGGACAAACTGCTCGGGCTCGAGTGTGAATTACCGAATTCCCAAGATGGGTATAAAAAGACCCGATCCCCATCGTATTCTCGCCTCGTCCCGTAGGTAATCGGCTATTAAAGTCCGGACCTGGTTTGTTAGGTAGGTACTTATCCCACCGCACAAGACTTATATTTGATGGTATAGGCACCGGTCTTTCGATTACCACCAACATAATCTCCAGCTGGCTTATACATACATTTTATTATTGGCCTGGTGAACTGTACCTGAAATCGAGTTTATTCCTCTTTCGGTAAATTACAGATCCCGTGGTACATATTTGGGATAGCCGAAAGAACCGGAACCTGGAGTTTTTCCCTCCCTCTCAACAAGGTCGTTGGGATTTCCAAGCGGGTATTGTTAGGTAGGTATTAGGTAGGTAAGTTTGAGAATCCGGTCATACGTAAGATGTAAGTGGGTAAGAATTACATGGGAACATACCACCTTACCAAGGGGAGAAGGTTCAATGTTGTATGAAGAATATCCATTGCTAATCTCCGCGAGTGCTGACTGGTCGACTATTCGGAACGTCAAGGGGAAGACGAGTAACGCTGCATTAGTTGCGACATTGAGGATGCACATTTGAGGATGCTGCATGACCAGTAGGTACCTAACCTAAAGGTTTCTTACTACTAACTGACTTTTGGATTTTGGAAACGAAATCTGCTTATTCGTACTATTCACTGTGCACTTACACTTACTACCAACATTGAACCTTGCCTCTTATTTTATTTTATTTTATCTTACTTATACGACTTATACGTATTTTGCCTTTGACACAATCTGCACATTACACATTTGCACATCTGCACAGTACTTACCTATCAAAGGTATATCTCCTATGCAGATGTTTATACCACTACATTGACGGACCCTGCTGCCCTGTTAGCACCTGGCAAACCGACATTGAATTGGAAAGTCGCAGATGCGCTTGGCCCGGTTTAACACTAGGTACCAAACTCTCTTCCTTCATCTCTATTTATAATTCCACGAATCTCGCCATGAAAGCTTTAGGGTCTTATCTCATCGTTTTCTAAATATCGCCGTCTGGATTCGGAGCTGGCAATCAATCCCAAGCGATTCAAGCAACTTACTGTCCAAGTTCCGGTGGGTTGAGCCGAAAAGTACCTCGTACAAATTGCGTGTACGAGACAAGCAACGGCGACAATAATAGCCACTATTCGACTCGTCTTTGGCCCACCTACTACCTCTAATTACCTATTCGAAGTCAAGTAATTTTTGACTTGCGTACCTAAGGTAGGCAGTCACCAGTCATCAACCACCCCCCTTCTCTTCCAAGGTCTATTTCTTACGAAGCCCTAGTGCCTGGTTTGCCTTGAATTAGGTACAGAGGAAGTTGAGACTTCCCATGTTAAAGCTCCCACCGAGAAAGTACTAAAGAAAGTACCGAGTACCAAATACCTACCAAATACCCCCATTAAAAAAGGGTCCAGGGTTCAGTTGGCGTCAGCTGATTGGGTCCGGCACGGGAACGCTTGGACCATATTAAGGTGGCAGCGCTAAATGACAAAATTCCACGCGCTTTCAGCACCCCTCTATTCTCTTTCGACCTTTCTATCATTGTCAACCACCTTGAAGTCCAAAATCCACACTCCGCGCCCACTTCAGTTGTTCCTAGTAACTCGCCTAAGCACCATAACAAGGCAAAAGCAGTGGCATAACGAGATACAGAACAGAAAAAAAGCTGCATTTGTCCAAGTCCTCTGTTTGGCCTTTTCTCCGTGTAATAGTCATCAGTCACCTGTCACTTATTCTTCTTTTTTTTTTTTCCATTCCAAAAATCAAAATCCGTACCAACCGAAAACTAAACCCGGCATCCATCTTCTTCCCATCAAATTCACCCCCCTTGTTCTCTCCTTGGTTTATCGGTTTATCTACATACATTAGAGTTGTTTAAGCTTTCAAAAAGCAGCAAACTACTTCCTAACAGCACAGTATTAACTCGTTCAAATTTCCGCCACATCTTGTTTCTGGACAAAGCTCGGTTTTACTGGCCAGCCAAGAATAAGCCATTTATTCCCTCCAGACGCATACACATCATAGCAACCTTGAAGCTCTCCGGAGTCGATTCATTCTCCCAAACTTAAACGTCAGAAGGGGTGATTGTGAAGCAACAGAATTGGCCACCCAATACTTAGCACGTTTTCCAATCATCCTTCTGACTGCACTATTTCCCCTCCAATAAGACACCATACACAACGTACTTGGAGTACGCATCATCGTCGTCTACCTTAATACTGTCTTTTATTCTCCGGTCCCATCTATTCTCTTACTATCTACATACCTAACCTCCATTCTATCTATACCTGCACCACTCTATCGCTTTTGCTCAACCCACCCCCTCGAGTATTTTCGACGACTCCCACCTTATCAATCTACGAATCCACACAATCCGCTTCAAGCCCACCCACCAAGCTATTGGCATTGTGCTTTTAATAACGAATTAACGATCACCCATTTCGAAGGGGGTTTACTGCTCAGGTCTAGGCTGCAGCAAATCTTAAATACAGACTTACATCAAGTCACTTATATGTTGTATTCTCAACATCGACAATCCATGAAAATCTGCCCTGATGGCTGATCAATGTATTGTCTGTCTAGAAAATCTAGACGTTCAATCGTCATCGTCATCGTCGCCGTCGCCGTCGCGATTGTGTAGACCTTTAGAAGGTGACGTGCCGCCGAGTTCTTCGTCCCCCGTAAAAACGTCCGAAGTTACAAATGCTCTGGCACGATTATCACCGGGGTCTCCGCTGGGCAGCACATCTAGCGCTGCCCACCAAAACGATGAAGAGCATAGAATCGCCGTTATTCAAGTTTGTGGTCATGCCTTGCACGATGCTTGTTTACGAGAATGGACTGGAAAGGCCAACAGCTGTCCGATTTGCCGCCAAGCATTCTATTTGGTGCATGTCTACGATAAAGTTGGAGGTAAGTTAAATGCGTCGAGATTCTGGCTGCATCCTTTTCGAAACGAGAAGCTAACTAAGTCTCCCGCTAGGTACCCAATTGTCCTCGTATAAGGTAGAAGATAAGAAGCAAGTTGTCGAATTCGATCCGCAAGCATGGCTTGACGACAATCCCGAAGAAGAGGCAACGAGGCCATGTCCTATCTGCGATCGGGCCGATCACGAAGATGTGCTCCTGCTCTGTGACAACTGCGATGCGCCATATCATACATACTGTGTAGGCCTCGACAGCGTGCCTCGAGGGCACTGGTTCTGCTTAGAATGCACAGATACCGGCGCAGATTTCCTAGCCACCGAGCTCCAAGATGCGGATTTTACAGAAGCTAGCTTTTCCGACGGCAATTCTAATTTTCTGCCACGGACTCAGGCTAGTATGCGACGGGCCAGGCGACAAGCCCGTTCAAACGAATGGCAGGGCGCATGGGGTCAAATTACAGGCCGGGTTTGGGACGCGTTGAACCTCGATCTGGATAATAATGATGACGACGAGGCTCTACGCAACTTCCGACGATCACAACGGCGGCTGGAAAGAGAGCAACGCGAGCGTCAGCGATGGCAGCAGCGTCTTAATATCGCTAGCCGCCTAGGAGCCCACGACGTGTTCGCAAGTAACATCTCGGACGTAGTGCCTATGCAGCGGCCCACGCCACCACCTCCACCTCCTCCCCAGGAAACAGCAGAAGAGAAGCAGGCCTGGGGTGCGCTAGAGAAGGCTATGGAGGCCACCACTCCTAATCGTCCAACTTCGAGTCACAGAAAGCGGAAGTCTCGTTCCGCGACCGCATCTCCGATTGAACCACCCCAGCAACCGGAGCGTAAGCTAAAACGACCTCGGACAAGACGAGTGCCCACAATCGGGGAAGCTTCAACGTCCAGTCGCCCCTCTATACAAACCGACCAACCTATATCAGATGGGTCGAATTCAAATCCCACGTCTGACCAATTTAGTAATGGCGAAGCCCCTTCCTTCCTCTCGTCTTTGTTAAAGGAGGTTGAAATGAGTACGCCTTCTGACGATGACATCGTCCGTCCTCTCTTCACATTCTCGAAACCGATACCAGACCCATCATCACCGGCTTCATCTCCTTCCCCGTCAGCTTTCAGCAGTCCCCGAGCTCTGTCGACTACGCCCCCGCCACGTGCGATTAACGATCGCCCAGGCTCGCCTTTGTCGCTTAGCTCACATATTGAGCCGATCTACCCACCTACGAATTTCTTGGCAAACAGAGGCAATGGGGATCATAGCGATTCTGATTCGGGATCCCGCCGGCCGACGCATCGGCCTCAGAACAGCAGGGCGAGCGGTAGTTGTCCCGAAATTCGGCAGCCTCGGCCCCAACGACAACAACCAACACCTACCAATGGGTATTTATTACGGTCGCAAGATACCAGTCCTACGCGTGGAGCATTGCCGTTCGAGATGAAGGAGAGCATTAGTGGGATCGTTAAAGACGCCCTCAAGCCTCACTGGAAATCTGGACATATCACGGCAGATCAGTACGCCTCTATCAATCGTGATCTGAGCCACAAGCTATATAAGGAGGTTTCGGACGATTCTCTCAACGAGGATGCTCGACAGCGCTTCGAGAAGATTGCAACTAAGGAGGTGGCAAGGGCGGTCGCAGATCTCAAGGCGTAATGGGGATCGTCACGATTTTGTCACGACGAAGAACAAGAACAAACGGACACGGGACACTGGGCATTTTTGCGTGGCGTTTTACGGCTTACTGGGCATCATTGGAAGTTTCGGGGTGACCTATAGAGCCATTGATGTTATCAAGATACCCTTGCGCGGAGTACTCTGCTTTAGCTCCTGAGGCGGTTAACCCTCGGATGCACCTCCTTTTTCTTGCATACGCGGCGGCGTTCGGCATGGGATAAGCAAGCCTCGGTAGAGGTTCGGACGGACAACATGATGCATATCAGCAAGGTTTGAGCTTTTTTCTCATCTTTTAATCCGGGAAGGCCCTTTCGGGAGGCTTCTGCTGGCATTTCATAGTAATAGGAGGTTTGAATTTTGGGCGTGTATAAGTACAGCATTAGACTAGGGGGTGGGAAGAATAGGAATTCATACTCGACATATACATCTAACGTCGTATAATTTTTCAACGGGTCGAGCGTCCCGAGCGATTGGTTTAATTATCGACAACTATGCTTCGTCTATTAAATGTGAAACAGGTATGCGTGGTTAGAGAACACATGGAGAGCTGAGACTGGTCGCCTTGGACCGTTTCATAAAGTCTCGGGTCTCGGTTTAATAAGGTGCATAGGGCGCAAGTGCCGGAGTAAATAAACCATCCAGTCATCATCACATGCCGAGTTCAATTGCATATGTATAAGTACAAGGTAGAGTAGGTACACGAATACCTCATTCCATTTCGAAGCCACATGTGGCTATCACCAGCCCCCCCTAGCCTAGCCCGTGGCCCACATAACTTTTCTCATATATTTTCACTCTGAGATTTCGTCCGTTTCTTCCTTTTCCTTTTTTTTCATATAACCAAGGCACCAATCCTTATCATCAGACCTTTTCTCCTACTCCCAAGACGTCCTGATCATTTACGCGTGCCGAGAGCGAAGCTCGAGCAGCCTTTTTTCGCTAGCAGTACCTGCAATTTGTGACACTGGGTTCGCTGTTAGATAGACGCTGCCGACATTTTTTTGTTTCTAGTTTTAGTTTTAGTTTTAGTTTTTATTTTCACTATGTGCGTGTGTGATGGTAGTAGTAAATACATACATGTCCTGTCTCATGTGCGTTGCTTCGGCTGGAAAGTCTTTGATTAAGTTTAGACTTGTTGTCGACTGGCTGGCTGGGATAGCCTACTCTGAATTGGGTAGTAACCTAGATATGTATCTTATATCACATAAGAGGGCGAGAATGCCCGGGTTGGATACTGCATATACTGGTAAATGATAGATGTCTTCTCCAGATACATGATTTCGATACTGTCTCGTATTTGCGAGTCCCCGGCTGACGATGGTATCGGGTATACGGATTCGTTGTCATGTCTGCCATAAGTCTTACTATACATATTTAGTATACGTGATATCGTGTTTATATTATATCTTGTCCACAGCTAGGTAGTCATTTTCATCAGATGCATTCAGCAGTGTTGTAACTCGTGCTGCGTGAGTGACTAAGCGTTGTCTTATATCGCGAGTTAAGCCCCTCGTCGATCCCGAGCATATACATAGTCGAAATTAGGAGCATGGGTTACTCATTGCCGCCACCATCCTCAGGAACTGGTCATTTTCCAAAGCAGGCTGGTGCTGAAGGACAAGTCCAGGTCAACGCATAGGTAGCCTGCTTGCCGAGCCATGCCCCCTAAACGACGGATGGCGAATCAATATTCGTAATATCAGAGCCTCTTGCCATTAATATAACGGCAAATTGGTGGCCTTGAGTAGAATTGTAGCTGGATTGGGATGGCATTCATTTATTGGTGAATTTATAGTGAAATACGACAACAGTGGGAATATATATCTGTATTCGTAAAGTAATCTCTGATGCTTTAATTTCCATCTTCTATCCTGTCCCTTGAGCCTCCATCCGATTCCTTTACTTGTCTTTACACGCCCTCAGATATACACCACCTTCTCTCCTAATTTGCAATCCCTAAGCATCGTTATCATGGCCGCAAGCCACCACAAGCACCAGTAGCAACACCTTCAAAGCCAAGCCAGCTCCGTACTCGACAAACCTCAAAACAAAGCCCACCGGTCAGTCACATGCCCAAAAAATGACCCGAGAATTCGGAGTAGTTGCCCGCTGGCCCGTAACGACAGATACCAAGTGTATCGAGACCAGCCAAGACATACGAGACAAGGCGGGCATCACGCGGTACAAGCTTTTTCAGAAACGACACCAACTGGATAGTTATGGAAAATCACCTTGGAGTTTACCAGCACGGTAGACTACCACTGCTTCTTCCATGACTCGACCGGCGACAGCGAGGGAGAGGATAAAACGGGATAATGGATCAAGAGAGGCAATAGTATACGTAATAAAGAGATAATAACATATATATATATATATATATATCATTGTACCCGTAGTAACTACCAGAGAACCGCGTTTATATTGCTTTTTCTTGCTGGCTCTCGTACTCCTAATCTTACTTCAACCCCTATTCGGTATACGGCCTGGACTACGTACATCCTTTAGACATCCCACACTATATCAAATCGTGTATACTTTTCGGCTTAAGAGGCACGGCGCCCTCGTCTCTTTGCTTAATAGACTAATGGCCGTGTTGCTTTGAAGCTTTATGAGACACCAGAAACCGTTGATCTGATATATCAATTAAGTGACGTACTCCGAATGACTTTGATATATGCAATGGAGCACAGTTTCCTTCTATCTCGCCTACTGGACACGATAGCATCTGGTAAAGTGTTGGTTCACATTGGTTGTTCGTACCGTGATGGATAGGAATTTATCTTTTGACTGGTATTCCTATTAGTAAATTCTTCAATAGGATATACGTATTAACGGGGTATAGTACCGAAGTCTTCGTGCCTCCCTATTACGCCCTCTACCGCACATTACGCACACCATATATCATATCAACCAGTCGAAGACGCCACCACAAGTGCAGTAACATCAAATTCGAGAACCCCGTAAAATCTGGGGAGAAGAGTCGTATTTTATTATAATAATCGCTCCGACTGCTCATGATACAAGCTCGCGCTACAGCCCATCTCAAATGCTTTCAAAAAATTCCAGCCTGGGTATTCCTCCAATTCTTACCACCGACTTGACGCCGTGTTTGTTGCTTCTTGTGCAAAATAGGTTGCTTAGCATAATAATCATGACGATAGTGGGGCAAATATCCGCTATATCGTCCATCCAACCATGCCCGCGCTTTTAATAATCAACAGGCTTCTGACTTATCCCTCATATCGGTTTCTCATGTGCGACAGTCGCGTCACGTCTTGGCACCCCCTCCACCCGGCGGATCTTCGTCGCTATCAGCAGACCCGGAACTTAACTTCCTACCTTCAGCTCTGAGCGCGGCCCCTTCGTTTAGCTCCATCTTATGAAGTTTCTCTCTAAGAAGCTCCTCGCCCGGTCTGACATCGAATTCTCCTTCTCCTTCCGAATCCGAGTCCGACTCTTCCTGGTCCGCCGACTTCTTCTCGGCAGGTACGCCACCCTTGTTTACTATTGCAAGGGCTTCCTTCGATACCTCCGGCGCGGGTCGGCGGCCGAAATTCTTTAGTAAACTGTTGGGATCGATGGGTTTGATAGTCGGATCGTATGCTGCTGGTAGCCCGACAGCTACTGCAACACGATGCGCTTCTTCGTCTGGGGTGAGGTTGGGTTCTAGCTCGTAAACGCTGCTGTTCTCGCTATCGGCTTCGTGCTTTTGACCTAGCAGCATTTGCGCATAACTTTGCCTAGATGGGTCGTGCGCTCGCTTCACCTTTTTTTTCACCCGCTTCTCATTAGGACGCACGACGACAACAGGCACTGGTGAGTATTGCAAGCAGTACTTCGAAAAAGAACTACGATTCACGAGGAACCCCTGGACTCCATCAAGGCTTCTACCCTTCGTACCGACAATCAACATGGATGGCTGGTATATTTTGATCTAATACGGTTCAGGTTAGCACTGACATTAGAATTTGACGAACCGGACGGTAGCGTGCGACGTGCGACGAGCTACGGGTCGACCAGTAGGGGGTACTACTAACAAGATGCTGGAACGTGTTGTGCAGTTTTCCAACAGCGTATTCTAAAATTAGGCCGATTGCTCGATTCTGCGTATTCTTCGCCTGGATCGATTCCATCAGAGCCCTGGCATCTTCTTGGTACGCCTTATCCGTAAGGCGGACCTGGGTTTCGATTACGCGGACGCATATAATCTCGTCGCCGTCATCGACTAGTTCGTCCAGTAGCCATTGCAAAGCATGGTCGGAATACGAGTTGTCGTCTACGCCGACCATAAAGGTGCGGTGTCGTCGTCTAAACTGAAAACCCGCATGGCGGTAGTTGAGGGTGAACGAGATGGGATTATACTCGGTTGATTCGCCGAGGGGGATGTTGTCGAAGGCTACATGGGATTCAAACCTTTGCGAACGAGGAGATTCGGTTAGCGTTTCGGTTGCCATCAGTTAGAAGAGGGACAGAGAAAGACAGTAGTAGGTAAGAGACGGGAAAGAGGTTGTTGATATAGCAAAACGGGTCCGTAAAAGGCACCTTTTGCGCGAAATTCGACCAGCAGCTGAAAGGGGAAGGGAAACTTGTGATTTTCAAAGCCAGCGGCCACTAAAACGCATAGCTTTGCTGCGCCTTGGTCGTCCAAAGGAACGAGGTACTTGCTAAAGTACGGGGTTTGGCCTGGCCTTGGGATGACATGTGGGGGAACATAGTGAGCGGGGTAGCATCGGGCGAGTCGACGAATAGAAGCTGCTTTAGAGTTGCTCGCGCGAGTAAGAAACCGGACTAGCTTGACGATCCTCACCGGAACGACATGCGATTATAATGGAAGACCAGCCCCTTATCAGTTCTCGGTAACCACCCAGGTCCCAGGTCATAGGCATTATCATGTCTAGAGAGTCCATACGAATAACGGCAAGCCACGCGGAATATACACTATTAGACCTCTCCTAGTCGACAAACGAAGTTGTGATTCCTTGAAGGGTCGGGTTATCCTGCGGCTTCGGACTTCTCAAGTTCTCAAGCGGGCCTATGATGTAATAGCACCGCTAAATTTGCTCTTCGGTCGCAAAAGAGTTTCCGCCAAGAAGTGCGATCGCGCCAGCACCCTCGTCCGAACAGCCCTTAACCTTAGGTGCTAATGATGTAGCAGCTTCTTGGCCGTCCTTGCATTCGAAGAATCTCGACGTAAATGGAGCAAAATATACATCTGTGTACTTGTATGTACTTGTGTGGAGAGGGGATGAGGCGGTGCGTTAAAATACGAAATCATCTCGACTTACCTACGGTGTGGCGGAGACGCTGCCCGAATTCGATTTCCAGCATGCGGTTTCTTTAGTCCTTGAGGAAGCGAGGGGTGTCGAGGGGGTGCAAAGGATATAGACGAGATAGACGCCTTCCTAGATGGAGGACCACTACTCCCCGTACTAGAGGCCGTCTCGCCCGGAGTCGTTGCGCTCGCGTCTCCCGTGCTTTCAGCTGTCTCCTTCCCCTTGCCCTTGGATTCGGTAGCGGCCGGTTGCACTAAGCTTGTACGAGGGGTGCTCTTTGCGCTATCTCGCGCCGAGCTGGAACGGGAGAGTGGGCTCGTTCTCTTGTCGAGAGAGAAGTAATCCGTCTTCTTAGAACTTGGTTGTGATCTGGGAGAGACGTCGCTCTCAGGGCTTCTAACTGGAGTAGGTAAACCTCCGGACATCTTCTCTTCTTTCTCGAGATGGACTAATGTGATTAAGATAGCGCCTGTACGGATACTGTCGATACCTTACTCACGTTGCCTCAGTAAGAGGGCGGAGGAGGCAGTTTCGTACTGACGGCATTGAGCGCGGATAGTCCAAGACGAAACCCAAAGGGATAGCCCCGGGGCTATCCGTCTTCGAGATGGTCTGACAGCCGCGTGGAAGACAGAGCAAAGCCCGAGTCTCGAAGGATCGAATCGATAAGCCACGTGGGATAACAAGGATGAGGAAGACCGGGAGACCGGGAGACCGGGAGATATTGATGGTGAAACACGAGACGAATGATTGGTCGTCGAGTTGTCCTGTCTATGGGTCGCAAGAGAGTAAATTAGCTTGGGAGGGCGTCACGAATATTCCTGTTGGTGTATTGCCGAAGACAACCGTTAAGGAGAACGAACGGTTTAAAGCAAACGCTTCGAGTTAAGGTAGCTAGTGTAAAGCGAGAGTGGTAGAAAAAAAAAAAAGAAAAAAAAAGTTAAGGGTTAGAGGTACGTATGGATGATGTCGTACGTTTTGGCTAGGGTGACTTTTGCTAAGGCGATTTTGCTAAGGCGATTTTTCTAAGGCGACTTGGCTTCTGTTGCAATCGTGGGAGCTTCAAGTTTCTTCAGCCCGCTTGGTCTTGAATAAGAAAAGCTTGGTTGAGGGAAGAAAGCTTGGCTGTGTTAAGTTTCGGCAGGCGGATTGGCGCGTGGTTGTAGACGGATGGGATGCTTTAAATGATGTATCTTTTTGGAAACAAGTGGGTACAAAATGCACTTGATTATCTAAACAGGAGAGAGGTAGGTACGTACAGTAAAGTTGTAGAAGCGTAGGTTGTAAGTAACAACAACAACAACGATGAATTGTGATGAATTGCTGGTCAAAGAAAAAAACAGCAGTTGAGTCGGGCTTCTTTTTTAAAGAGGTGAAGGAATCTGGATAAGGCGGCCATGGGAGGAGCGGGCTAGATGTACATATGAGGTAAAGGGCAGTAACAATAGAGAAGTAGTCATGTATGTACGAAGTAGTGGGCTTGTAGGGGCTGTACTAAGTGCGTATAGGGCCTGTAGCTGCCCCGGGCGATGTTCTTTTTTCTTAAACCTTGGTACGCACAAAAATGGGAAAGTGAAGAGCTGGAGCCAAGAGCTTAAACCTTGCGGCAGATGACGGCGCGTTTCCAGATTTTCCTATTTTTACACGCTACCGCAGGGAACTAGCAGGACTAGTAGGTACTTATGCTAGGTACTTATACCATACGCGTCTTAATGCTTGTGGTTTGGGTAATTACTCGTACTGGACTAACCATCTCGGTACCCAAGGTACCTAACGGCAGCTACCTAGTACCTATGTACCTACCTATTATATACGCTAGGTACATTAGGTACAATACCTACAATACATACACTAACCCGCTAGGTAACGTTAGCACCCCGATTTATGCATCTACAGGCGTAACGTATATTGGCCGCATACTTCGTACATTGATGTAAGTCATCTTGTCTCCGCCTAATCTAAATTCTGAAGAAACATCAATTGATCTTCCTCTCACGCTTCGAGGTTGTTTTCGTCTTACCTTTCGCTTTTTTCCCTTCTTATTCCATCCGTCCAATCGCAACATGTCAACTACTCGCGGCAGACACTCCAATGCGACGTCAGGCCAGCGTAATCGTCAGATCAGCCAGCAAAGTTGTTGTTCGAAGCCGATATCCCGTATCCTATATCCTAAATGGGTATCTCAAATCTACCTTGTGTAAATTCCCGACGACTTCTTGCAGCGGCACACGACAACTGCCTTAAGCATCCGGTCATCACTACCTTGTACTCGTCATCATGTCTCTGGTTACGCTTTCGGTATATGTGATGACAACGAAGTATCAATGTCAGCAATGACAGCAATGACAGCAGCAACAACAGTAATAATAGCAATACCAATAACAATAGCAACCGACCAAGTACTGTACCACCATGTATTCATCTAAAATTGACAATACCAAGGCTTCGTCCACAACGTCTGCGGCTAGAAGTCAACTGCGCTCCCAGACCGGCGGGTTAGGGCCAAGAAGGGACATTCACCCCTCCTCGCCTTGTCCTCCTCCAATCCTTCCATCTTCCTCGATACTGGACGTATCTAGAAGGTAGCTCCAAGGACTACATAGGCTCTACGTACGTCCGGATTGTAAATTTCTTCCCATCAGGCGCGCAATTCAGAATCCAGGCTTTACGATTGCAGTAACTACCGATGTGGCTTACACATAGTTGTCCGCGCGCGAGGCCTGCCTCCGCTTTTTAACTCAGCTGCCTGCTTGAATAATAGGTATGTATCTTGATGGTCAAGATCCGCAAACTCTTCGTCATAGCCGAGGAACGTACATAGTAGATACCTACCTACTCCAAGAAATAGAAAACCCCATATCGTTCAAAAGGGTACCAAGACCATGGGGATTGGCAAAACGGACACATAAGACATATGGAGTAGTACAATCTCGTGCTCTTGGCGAACTTGGCGCATAGCTCGCGTAGCCAAGACGTTGACGGGCAAGGTTGGCTTTCCTTTCCAACACTTTCTACCCTGATGACACATCTGTGCAACTCCTGCGGGAGAGTTAACAAGGAAATCTGGGCACATAGCACGACAGTCATTCTAACTGGGAGCGCCACACGACATATCTCCGTATTTTTCTGACTGCTAAGGGAAAAAAAGAAAAAGAAAAGAAGAAAAAAGAAAAGAAAAGGAAAGGAAACGCTCCACTGGGATGAATTACGGATAGAATCATGCACATCTCCGTCTCTAAACCTCCACCACAACGTAACAGTACCTGGCACCAGGCGCGGGCCCCAAAGTAGCGGGTGAGATGAGGAGCCACCGGGTCGAGCCGTTTCACACCAACCATCCATCACGATCGAACGCTGCCAGATGGAGTTCCCTACTTAGGCTACATTTCCCCGGTTTGCTCCTGTCGGATAGGGTAGATCTCGTCGCATCGGCACTGCTACCCGTCGAGGAGGGATCAGGAGGGGAGAGGCCTCCTTCATCGTCAGGTAGTTCTTCTCCTATTGCATATGGAGTCGAAAGGTCACATGGTTTTCTCTTCCCCTGGGAATAAGAGGTCTATCGTTCATACGCTCATACCTACGTCCCGTACGTTCATACGTGTCCGCTGTATTGAGTCATCAGAGACAATATTCGGGTGTACGCATCGTAGCCTGCCCGCCATTCGCGAAGCTTCCATCCATCCAGGGGGAGAGTGGGATGTTTCTCGATGAGGCTACTAACCCGTATTATGTGCGATGAGATATTATATTCATCGTTTCTTAACGTTCTCACATGTCAGGGATTCCACGAAACAGACAGACGCAGAACAGCACGAGGTGAAATGATGAAATCCCAGCCCTGACCTTGAAATTCGATAACCATAAAAGATCCATGTCTCCCATGCTATGTCAGCCACAATGGATGCAAGAAATCTTGGCTTCCTGCAGCCTCACCGAATATATCACAGATTCACTACCGCCTAGGCTCCCCGGCTCCCACACGGGCTACAGCTCCGCCTGGTTATTTGTTCACGTAGAACCCGATATTTTCCTACATCCCAACTAACAGGTCTTCACCGCACACCTTTCCACGATGCGATAACCGAATTAAATATCTGGTTGCGATTTACCGACACTCGGAAACCAAGAGATTGGCGAATGCCGCGATCGCAAATATGCCTTCATACCCTAGGACAAAAACATACACATCGTGCTGACCGACTCGCACCACGACAAAACGTGCTTGACCGCTTTGACCAACCCGATTACCATCACCGACCGGCACCGGCGTTGATGTTAAGTTTATTCGGTGCGATTCAGTCACGTTTACTACCATCCTAGTACTGTAACCATCGTATGTCTACATGCTAAGCTTTGTACCGTCCCCTTGCTTTCCATCTCCAAGTAATACCGTTCGTTATGATTTGTCAAGCATGCTTGGCAATATAATCTGGCAGGCAATGACTATAAACGGATCATGCTCCGTAGCTATATGCGCATTCATTATCGAGATCCGATAAGCTCAAGTTTCCATGACTATATTTTATTTATTTTCCATTCGAAGCATCTTGAACTGTAGAAGATGGCCTTGAATTCCCCGAGTTAACATGACCCCTCATTAAATTTCTCCGAGCCTACAGTCGTAATCTGATCTGTTTATGAGCTGTCACAGATCGACCAAGTACCCAAGCCTATCAGCCTAATCACCATCATTATCACTTCCCCTACCATAGATAGTTGGCCGTATAAACTTGGTAGAATATGTAGGTGATATTGAGGCTCTACTCACCAATTATCATATGTATGTTTCAACGCCACGGAAACACATTCTGGTCCTGTCACAGACTTAGCTTCTTGGCTCTTTTACTTGGCAAGTCTTGATTCCTACCACGATGAACTATGACACGCGATCAAACCGGAGTCGCATACCGGTATAGGTAGGACTGTAGAATGGGGAGCGTCACTCTGGTCGTTTAATCATGAGGGCAGCAAGGATAGTGCCTATATTAAATTGATACCCTTGCAACTCCCGTCGACATCCCATTGGTACAGCGTAACAGACCCCGTGAACATCCAGGCATTATACCTATTCGCCTGACAGAAAGATTAGATGAGGTATAACTTCAATAACATCGAGTCTCCTATATACCGGAACTCTCAATACTGGATGACTACCCGACTACTATGCACGACGAGAGAAGATAATCCAATGAATTACGATTTATTAGTACGGGAAGTTTACTGTTATTTCCATCGCTTATACGGGGCCAAGACAACAGACAACTCGCATGTTGTGCCTATTTAGGAAGTTTCTAAACTTGACGCTGCTGAAAGGCCGTTGAGCTTAGTGTAGAAGGGAAGGGTGTACAGACATTCGCGGTGCCAAGCTGCTGTAAGAGTACACTCAAGAGCTGCTATTATAACTCATAAAACACGAGAGCAAAAA